GTTAGGGGCAAATTAATTTACAACCAGATTAAACTCAGCGTTTTATTGCATAACACTATTTTTGTTACTTGTAATAGTGAATATGTAGGCAACTCTATGAGTTGTTGATGTCTTTTGTATTTGTATTAATAATACAATGAACATTAAGGATGGTTGTTTATAAAAACCATAAACATATACATGTATACCAGTATAAAGGTGAATATCATACAATATTTGATAAAAACATTTGATTATGTTTTAAGTAGGACTACATCAAATGCAATGGAATTAATGAATAAAGCACCTTTTAAATAAATGCAAAAAAAAAAAAAAAAAAATACAAGCATATTGTCAAAATTCGATTTTGATACTTCTCTGGCATTTTGTTTAACAATCAATTACTTTGAGCAAGAACTAATAAATTATATAGTAGAAAAATATAACAAATAGTATATTAAGTAAAAAAAGACTCATAAAAGAAAATGTACATAATTATAAATCTAGTGAACAGTTTATATGTCTGTCTCGTAGCAGAATTCTCTTTCATTGCACCAGTTTTGCTTTTCATTTTAAGAACAGTTTAACGCTTTCTTGATTTTTCGGAATTTATCTAAGAGCTAGGGAATAACGCAACAAATTAACGTGTGTTGGGTTGTTGAACAACAAACTTCCCGCACTAGGAGAGAAACAGCTGCCGAGACTACCAATGCTAATTGTTAGATATAATAATAAGTACATCAGTCATATTCAAATTATGCATGCTGGTGTTTAAAAAAAAATATATTTTGAATGTTGAATTTAACGAATGATCTGATTTTACAAATCAAATATTTTTCTTTTGCTTTCGATTGATATTATCCTGTATATTATGTAATATTAGTCGCTGAACAATCCACGATCAGAGCCAAGCATGTGTACTTTAGAATGCAATCTATAGATAAAAAAGATAAACCTTTTTTAATTAGTGTACATGGAAAATCCTGAATCGTGTGTCAAGTCGTGTTCTACCCATACTCCTTTAATCTATAAAACTGATGTTAATTATTATCAATATAATAATTCTTTTTCATTTTTAAACGTAACTTTTTATGTGTGTTTTTGCCAGTTTACTTAAATGTTGGCATATATTTTTTTATTAAATTTCAATAAAATATTTCAATTTGTTTCTTGTCTACAAAAAAAAAATACTTTTTTGTTTCATTTTTGCGACAACTATCGAATTTCATCTCAGATATATATTTTATGATCTCTCGGGTAAATATCAAAATTGAATCTAGAGTTGTGTGTGTATATTGTACGGGTGTGGATTAAGGATTATGTACGTTTTAAATTGATTTGTTTTTTTAAAGATGCAAGAAAAAATAACTAAATGCTTAAACGGTTAAAGTATTCTTTCTAATTGATAAAACCTGATCAATTAAATAAATGGAACCAATTTTACTGCACTAGATCGGCACTTTGGCAAAAATTGTCTCTTCGATGATACTAGAGGGGGCCGAAGTATTGGAAAATCCAAATTTTTTCTCCAAAATTGAAGAGCTACTATAACCAAAAAAGATCAAAATGTATAGCTTAAGCCGGGCAATGAATCAGAGCTTTGCATGACATCAGGTTTATCAATTTGTACGATAGACGCAATTTTCGGCTTCATTAAACTCATCAGTGGCGTTTGAATCAAAGCTGTTGCAAAGTCAAATCAAACTACGAAGTTTAAGGGCAAAGCAAAAAGATCGTAAACTTGTACCAATTACGGCAATTTATTATTTTGGTGATGTATCAATACAAACATGTTAAACGTGAATATTTGTAAATAACCTTAACACACACCAACTTGGGTTGGAATTTTTATATTATGAAAGTGCTTATTTTTGCCTCGGAATTGCTACATGATTAGTTTTGTATTCCATAGTCCAATATTGACGCATAATAATTGCACTAGCCAATACGTCTTTTTGTAAACCTCCTGACATGCATATGAACCTTCGGAATGTTCAAATTTCTCACATTTCTTCATCATTTTTAAAGTGAACATAGAGGAACTTGCATAATAATTGCACAATATAAACACACATCCCGAACAATATAAGCTAATAATTTAAATAAAACATAGTTTATTCCTTCCCGTTAAAAAAGAGAGGCGAAAGATAGCAAACGGGCATTTAAACTCATCAGTCGAAAATAAACAGACAACACCATGGCTAAAAAAGAAAAAGACCAACAGACAAGCAATAATACACAAACACAACATAGATAACTGATGATTTAGTTTTCGGTGGCCAAGTGTTACCTTTCCTCCTCAGTAGAATATAGAGTTGTAACACAGTACATGATATATTAGGCATGAAGATGGAATTGATTGCAGATAAGCTAAATATCTATCGTAAAGGATCGTAAGATACAGTGTGAATTATTAGTTCAGACTAGGTGGCCGTGTGGTCTAGAGCGCTGGACACAGTGCAGGCGGTGTTTTCTCGATATCCCAATAGCATGAGTTGAATCCCGGCGAGGGAAGAACAAAAATTTGCTTCCGCAAATTTGCAGATTTAACATTGTTGTGCTGATATTTAGAGTAATCATTAATATAATATGTGTTTTCAGCCGTTTATCACCTTCACTGGTGATCCAACGGATGGATCTGTCGTAGAGTTGTCACTTGTTTAGACGTTCTTATCTTTACATATATACATACATAGAGACAAGTGAAAGCAAAAATGGGGAAAAGAAATAAATCAGATTTTATAGACACGGTGATCATGTTTGATATCACAAAATCAACAACTGCGGATGCCATTGAGAAGTTCTTGTCATTCATTCGATGGTGTAAATCACATCCTGATTTTCCTGACAACTCAATGTAAATACAAAATGTATGGTATTTTACAAAAGTATAAAAATGTCTGAAAATTATCATTATTTTAGTGTTATTAAGCTGAAACCTGGAGAAGTGTAACTTGTACGTGGCTTGCAACGATTTTGATGCTGACAGCAAAAAAAAAAAAAGGCTAATATAGTTTTGTCGGCTTCAGCAAAAAAAAGGGAAAAATAAATCAATCTTATAATAAATATAAACTTATTTTGCATACCTAATTATATATATAAATGAGACCCTGGTTGTGAAAAGTGAAAGAAAAAACCTATTAATTAGATATAATTCATATCTTCAGCTGATACGTCTACAAAATTTATGACTACAGGATCCTCGGTGGGTAAGAGTAGTATTTTAGAATAATCGATACAATTAAAAAAGAAGGTTAAATAAACCTTTGAAGATTTTGAAAAGTTCAACAGGCAAATTCAATAAAAGTTTGCAATATTCAAGGTTTATCAACAATATTTGTTTCAGCAATTTTTTCAGGAATCGAATGACAATTTTTTTTCCTGGCAAAGTTTAAAAAATAAATGTGTTATCTAAGCTGTCCAGAAATTTTGCCTTATCATTAATTTTATACCATTTATTTACACTCAGTATACAAAAAATTACCATAACATTTCAGATTTACTTTAAAAACTGTCTACTACGCATTTCAACAGTCATGGGTATTCCTAATGAGAACAGATGCAAACACACGAGAATATATGCCAGATGATTTGGCAGATGATGCATGAACCCATACTATTTCAATGGTGTAAATATAAGAAAACATAAACGAAAGGAACATTTTGGGCTTTCCAAGGTCTACCCCTTTAAGCAGTTATTTTATTTTATGGGAATCAGTTAAACTATTTCTTCCAATGATTGAGTAAAAGTAAAAATACATTTGGTACCAGTACCTCGAAACTACTAGAACCATTCTTTACCGGTCCAAAATTAAAAGCTCAATTAAAAAAATCACAAAAGTTCAAATTCTAACCGTTAGTCATTAAAATGTGCCCATGTCCACACCTAAAAATTCCAACATTTATATTTGAACGTTTTAATGTCATGCAAGGTTACATATAGTGTAGTATCTTTTAATATGCTATCATTGGATATAATTGGATCGATGTGATTTACATTTATGTCCAATCTATATCGGACTGCTTTGGACGTCATTTAACTATACACCACATATATACATATAATTTTCGTTCGGGTCTATATGATCCGTTCATCCTATTTCGACTCTTCAAAATTCAAGAGTCTATCCTAAATTGAGGTAAATTATATGGCCTTCCAAATACCGTTTCGATTTCTAACATCACTGAAGAGACATTAATTGTCGAAATCCGGATATGGTGTACACATTTTTGCACCTCATGTTTGCGGTACACAATCTTTTCCGCAAGTTTTTTGTTTTCTGTTTGGTATTAAATTAATAATAAAGATCCATTTTGTTACATCTTGTGATCCGTTTATTTGGCAATTGCCAATGGCAGTCAGCAGGGTTTAAGAACATACGTTGTTCGACCTGTTTGTCAAATGCGTTTTGTTTAAATATACTTTTCACTTTGGTCTTTTGGAAAATATTGTTTGTGCTGTATTTAGACTCCTCTACCAAGAAATTTGTTTTGCATGCACACGTATAAAAATTGCGGTTTTTTTCCAACGCAATCATAAGTTTGAACGTTATTTTCAATTTAGACTTATATACATGTATATATATGTATATATGTTTTATTTTGTGGCCACACATGTATTATCTTTTCCTGTGTCATAGTAATTAGAGGCTGATACAATTTAAGACGTTAACAACATCAACGCTACAAGAAAAAAAAAGAAAAATCTAAACAATGGTCAATAATTAATGTCAAAAAAAAAATAATGCATGAGCAGTTCGTACCCGTCAGTAACAAGTCACGAAGCTGTCGTATTCTACATAACAAATAAAAATTCGATGGGAAGAAATAAATAATAACACGACAACTCATCCAATGAAACAAAGACGCTAGCAGAAATACAGTACCGTGCCAAAATATTAACTAACACAATGATGTTTAAAGAGTAATTATAATGAAACGTTTTTACACATATATTAACGATGTTGTTTTTAAACTGTCTCTTATAATGTTCTTCGTTATATTTATTTCTAAATTTTCAGATAACAAAATTTGTTCATCTACAACTAATCAATGTGCAATGTACGAAAATGTGAAAAGCAACTTTACAAGTTCAGAAAATATACGACTATCGTTTTCAAAAAAGCACGATAGAAAAATCAATATTGATGACATAAGTTCCAATAACTTACCAGATGTAGAGGAACAAGAGAATGTGAATGTATATGGCAACATGATATTGGAAGATGATATATGTCAATACAAAATTCGTATTGAGGACCTAGCAGATGTAATAATTGAAAAACGTCACGACGAAGGATTTGAAAAAGAATATATGGTTTGTAAAACACATACTATCTGATTTTATTCACGACTAAGCATTGTTCAGAATATAAATATTTAATTTTTCAAAACACTGTTTTTCTTCCAAATATATATATATATAACATGGAATGTTTCACTCATTTTCCCTACCATCACTCTTGTTCCTGCCATCACTTATTTTCCTGCCATGACTTGTTTCCAGTAGCTCCGGCTTCTGTACTAGACTTCTACATTTTTAAGGATTTTTTTAATTATACTAGTTTTAATTACAGGGTTTTACTCATTTGGGATGGATGTAAAAGTACGCAGTCACGTTCAATTATTTTTCTTATCATTATCAAACTGCTATTTATTTGGGGTGTTTAAATACGCAGCCTCTGTTTTAATTACTCTACCGTTGTCAAATTTGAAATATTATACAAGCTTAGATCATGTAGATAGGTCAGTGCTGTTTATTGGGAATGTATTTCCACGCAGTTGTTGTAACATCTTAACTGTCGTCACCTTTGGAATTTTAAGTTGTGCTAGCTCATATCGCAAATTATTACTATTTTTATTTTAGGTATGTCGTTGCGCCGTGTTTGGAAATTTTTGAATTGTACTAGCGTCTCTAGTATGTTCTGGTAAAACTGTTTTTTTTTTGTGTATAGATTCAAGATTGCTATAGTTTTATAATCAGAACAGATTGATAAGATTCATTTTACATCGTGATCATACTGATGAAGGATATCTGTTATCCGAAATATTATAGTAACATTTGTTCATTTTATTGTTATTTTTTGGTGATGTTGTACCCTTTTAGACTGGTTATATGTTATATTTTGTAGTGTACTGTATCATAATTATATGATCCATCGCCCCGTAAGATTTATCGTTGGCTATTATTCAGTCATTTTATATATATATATATAATATATAGGGAAAAAAAAAAAAAAAAATAAGGCTGAAAATGCACCAAATATTTATATTCAATGTGAATATTCATATTGAATATAAATATTTGGTGCATTTTCAGCCTTATTTGTTTTTTTTCCCTATTTTATGCACAGCGTGGACAAAATTCAAAACTTTGTAATATATATATATATATATATATATATATATATATATAGTTTTTTTTTAAATGCATTATATTTCAATAAAAACAACATTTATTTTTCTTTTTAATTTTTTTTCTACTGTGAATATTTGGCTAGAATGTTTGGTTGTTAATGCTCTTCAATTTTGTATTGGATTTGTTCGTGTGGCCGTTTTTATTCGAGCGTCATTAATTATTCTTATGTAGACGAAACGGACGTCTAACGTTCCAAATGTAAAGCCTGATATCTTGAAAATAAAAAACACTCCAAAGAAATCAATACTCTCTAAAACGGTATATGCTATGTAGTAAATGTTACATTTCATATATTATAAGACGTGGTTTGATTTCAAATGAGACAACTACCTGCCATACACCAAAATATCTTATATTTTGTATTAGGACGGGAATTTAAAATTTAAAATGAGGCCATCGGATTTTCACACCTTAACGAACCTCCCTTTTTTTCCGGAGATCCAACAGAATTCGAAAGTTGTCAAGGTAGTCATATTCTAAAACGAACATTACAGATGACGACGGATATGTTCCAATTGTCGTAACTACAATATCGTCCCCTTTCCCCCGAATGTGACCTACCGAATTGGACATATCACCGGGTTTGTTACATGATCAACACGACAGGTGCCACATGTGGAGCAGGATCTGCCTACCCTTCCGGAACACCTGAGATCAGCCCTAGTTTTTGACGGGGTTCGTGTTGCTCAGTCTTTAGTTTTCTATGTTGTTTGTCTTTTTCCTTTTTAGCCATGGCGTTGTCTATTTATGTTCGACTTATGAGTTTGAATGTCCTTTTGGTATTCCTCGTCTCTCTTTTACCATTCTTGTCGATTGTTATAGTTATGTTAAGCTTTATGTAGCTTTGTCATACGATTTTATTATGATATTGCGTAAGTACAGTGTTTAAGGTAAAGATCTATGATTGATTAGTTCGTCAAATGATGAATTAAATATGTTTCAGATGTTCCCGAAAGGTCTTATTCATGCTCATATTGAGGGATCAAAAGAAGAGAATAAAGCTAAAAACAGATTTTTGACTACATGGCCATGTAAGTGACAAAATACTTAGAAATATATATATCTTGTATATGTAGAGTAAGAAATATGTTCCTATTTACAGTAATTGAACATTTGCACGCGCGGAAATTATTTCAAACGTCAGTGAAAAAAAATGAAGATATATTGAGAACGTTTTAACATTGAACACACCAATATCAGGAACTAATTTGTTGATGAATTGTGTTGTTACCGTGAACAATAATTAAAAAAGGACAAACACAAGATAAAACATGTATCTATGCTACAAAATAAATGAGTATCAAAACCACAGAAACCCATTTTTCTTTTACAGATGACCACTCCAGAGTAGTGTTGAAAGGAGACACAAAATATGATTATATAAATGCAAATTACATCGACGTAAGTTATTTTTAAATTTGTATGCATTTGTTTATCTATAAACATAATATTTAATTTTTAAAAACACAGAATTTTACAACTTATGTTATGTAGCATGAACTTGAATGTATCAGAATTACATTTTAACAGTCTAAAAACTGTGACAAAATGAATTGAAAAATTACAAAACTTAGGAGAAAATAAAATATACACATAAGTATATGAGCAACTGAAATTTTAAATAGGCTATGACAGCTTTAGGATAAGTGTCAATGCTGGTATTAACCATCATTGTTTGTTTGGGTAAGCTATATGAGAGACAACTTATCGTATATGCTGAAAAAAATCTAAATTATCAACGATATATTTGGATCATATATATTGTGTCTGTCAATGCACATATACATGAGCATTTTGATGCTGATCATGTATTACGATATGTTTACCCTTATTAAATAATTGAGTAAGGTTGTAAAGTAAATTGTATAACTATGAAGCGTCACTTAATTAATGTAATATTTTTAAATTGCAGAGCTATCATAAAGAAAAGGCATACATAGCTACACAAGGTTTGTGTATATAATCAAAGAATATATAAAGTGTTGTCGTATTTTGATTTTAGATTAAATATTCATGATAGATCATCATTATACAAAAAAATTACTAATCCGTATTGGTTTTATATGCCAACATCGTTTGCTATGTTGAGGAGATAAAAACATCATGTTTTGTCAATTTCATTCATGATTATATAACAAAGATTTTCAATACTTATCACGATAAAACAATGTGGGGTCAACAGTATCGTCTTCATAAAAAAGTACAACAATAGAAATAACTAGATGTAAATAGTTTGATAATCAACATATATTTGCGCGCGTTGTTGTTTTGAAATCTCGCGCTTTATATAGCGTATGTTCAAGTAAACACATTCGAAAAGAAAGCAATAAATTACATGCGATGTCGTAAAAAGTAAACTCCATTCGTTTTTAAACATTGACGGGCACTTTCACATGTTTTGTTTTGTCGACTTCAGGTCCAAAAAGAAATACTCTTAGAGATTTCTGGCATATGGTTTGGCAGGAGAACGTCTGCAAAATAGTGATGGTCACCCAACTGGAGGAAGATAGAAAAGTATTTGATATTATTCAAATCGTGTTAGATATTGAATATATAACGTACATTCACAGGAATATGAAAGAATGTTTGCTTTACTCTTAGTTTAAAATCTCTTCCTTTATAATGTACAATCGAGTAAACATTTAAAAAAAAAACATTATTATCAACGCGTTATATTACCTTACAGTATTGTGCAAGCATGTTTTATAAAATTCAATGTAAGTAGCGCATTCAAAAACAAACTACATGTGTAAGCATTGTAAACTACTCAATTACCATTGTTACAAACAGCGTCAACAATTTGAAAAGCAAGCAAAGCAAAGCCTGCCTAACAAGTGTAATGATTCATAAGTTTGAACATTTCTGTGATTTAGTATCGGTTATTAATACAAATTAAACGGAAGTCCAGAGTTTGTGAGACTAGCACATCCATCTCAACCTTAATATTTTGCATTTAGCACATTTTGTATTAGTTTGGTGACATAACTATTGCGATACCAAGAACAACTCTTTAATGAAATGTTAAACAACAAGTCAATGTTAATTACAAACGCCCAAGGTTAACATGTTGTTTAGCCAAAGACATGAAATTGTCTTCTTGATGTATATTGTTTTGTTTGACTGGCGGCTGTCTAACCAAAATTTATATCCCTTTTTGGTCTTGTTTTATTTTTATCCAAAACAAACGAAATAATAATGCAATAATGTATAACTGTAACGTTGTAGAAAAAATGTGAACAGTATTGGCCACAGGCAACTAACAAACCGTTAATAGTAGACTGCTATACCTTGACCATGCAAGTAGAAAAAGAACACTCCGAGTATGTGTACAGGCTGATTAAAGTTGGACACAAAACGGTAATTAGCATCTTAATGTTGATTAATTTCCTTAAAAGACAACACTGATGATACAAACAACAGAGCTCATACGGATGGTTATTGAACCTCACGTTTGTTCATGATAATAATCCTAAACACACGTCAGTTTACTCTATAACTAACTTTTGATATAATCAGATGAAATATAATTTATAATAGAGGATCTGAGAATCAGTATTTACAAATTGAACAGAGTAGCGCCTGAGCTTTATATTAAATTATTATATTATATTATATATAAAACAAAAATACATGAAATGTATTTACTACTGTCTGTAAGAACAATTTTGGTAATGAAGTCTGAAATGTTGTATAACAAAAAGACACCAATCAGCGCCCTTGTCATGTTTGTTTTTCTCGTAAAAATCTGTAATGGTCTAGAGTTCATTGTCTCTCGAAATTCAATGTGAAAATTTTGAAAATGACGTATTGTTTTGAATAAAAAGCAAAAATAATAATGGTTTTATGTTATTTAGTTTTTAAAAATCATAGTATTCATTTTATTATATTAGGCAAAAGAAAAACGAAAGGTTCACCATTATCATTTTACTCAATGGCCTGATCACGGTGTTCCAGACAGTATAAAGCTGGTGAATTTCTACAGGGCAGTCAAAAACAATAACCGTAATCAGCATGGACCACTTTTGGTACACTGCAGGTATATTTGTTTCGTCAAGAATTACTGTTTACATCTATCATACAAGTGTGAGGTTTAGCTAGCTATCAAACAAGGTTTCACCCACCATTTTCGTCGGGAAATGCCTTAACAAGATTGTTTCCCTTTCGTTACAATGGTTGATATAGTAATGTAAACTTCCTCTTTTTTATTTTAACTTGGAGTTCGGTATTTTTTGTTGAAACGTTTTTTACAATTTATAACAGTCTGGCAATTGTGCATGCATAACATTTGAAATCTTCTTTTCAATAGATAAAAGCGTCTTTGATCCTATACCATGTTTGAAACGCAAATTATAATGCTATATCTAAATGTATAAGCAGAAAATTATGAAACGGAGAAATAAAAATGAGAAGAATTCTTGACAATCGTTTATAGTAAAATAATGTTAGACAATAACATGTTATAAGATCAAGCAAGAAAGTGTAGCTGGATAATTAAACATATTGAACGGATATAGATGCCAAAAAACCACTCTAACAATATTACAAAATGCATCAAACGATCTCAAAGTATATGTGATGTAATTGTATGTTTGAAATATTGAGATTATCTGCTGGTATTTTCGTTTCATATTGGCTCAAATGAACAGAAGCGGTAAACTTTTTTGCATTATTCAGTTTTCAGAGGCGATCTCAGTTTTTAGCAACAGCAGAGCATGTTTTAAAATCTTTAAAATTGAATCAAACTTAATAGTTTTAACATCTTTCTGAATTGTATAAACATGTTGTATTTTATTTAAGTGCTGGCATTGGCAGAACGGGGACATTTATTGCTATAGATTCTTTATACGAACATGGAAAATCAGTTGGTTATGTCGATATCGTGGAATATGTGAAGATTATGCGGAGGGACAGACTGAATATGATTCAAACATTTGTAAGTATAATTAGGTTATAATTGTAGTTAAATCTTTGTAAAATAGATACAATACAAGCAAGATAACAATTAAAATGCAGTGAATCAAGCTGTGTAGAATTTCCCTTTCTCGTATTTAGTTTTGTTATTTGATAGTTTTTAAATTAGTTAATTACTTTGTTGAACGACTTCTACATAATGAAAATGACTTCTTATGTCTCCGTTTTTACATTTCAATCATTTCATAAGTTACGGCATTTTTGTTCGCAACACCTTTAATGGGTCACTTTAAAAAAAAGAGTGATCCTATAAAAGTAAGAACAATGGGCAATGGTCAGTGGCCGAAATTCTAAACAAAATAGTCAAATAATGATAAAAAATATATATACATAGGATAAATATTCTGGAAATGATAATTTTGTTATTTACGTGTACAATAGATCAGATGACGACCTACCCAACCCCCATTTCTTTCGAACATGTCACCAAACGTTCATAGTTTCGGACATCTTTCAATTACTGTTATATCTCGTTTCCTATAATTCAAAAACATATCTTAAATAGAAACATTCATGCAACGGTTATCCTTGCCCAGAAGTAACAGGTACATGTACGATCAGCTATCTCAACACAATCTATTTACTATTACCGCTATATTTGGAGAAATGTAAAATTTCTGAACAATGATTTACAACCCTGGCCTGCGTTATATATATATGTATGATATATAAATAATACAGGTTCATTGGCCTTCTTTTTTGTTTTTTTCTTATTATCAACATCATTTCCACAACTTGTTGTTGTCTAAATCACACGGGAAACAACAAAAAAGTCCGAGATAAAACAATTAATAATATTTAAATAATAGTTTATATCTTATTGATGAACCCTCAATTTTAAAACAGTTTTTGTGCAGAAGCAACGGTTTGGAAGACGCATCATGTCCGTAAATGATTTTGATTGTGAAAACAGTGTGCTTTGATCCTTTCTAATAGATACGTTTTCTGAAATGCATAATCTATAAGAAATATATACGGTAATTGATTCTATACTTCCCGAAATACTAATTTGTTGACAGTGACATGCTAATTTATGATGATTTATTTCAGATGTATTATTCCTGTCTTTTAAGTGTACTTTGTATAAACTCATAACAAGTACACTACATGCATTTGATTTTTGGACGAAACATGCCGACTGCATATATTAATTCACTTAATATTCAAAATTTGTCAAAACCGTTTTCATTCAATAGATAACGACACCAATGTATGAACGGTTTAAACTTTTGTAATGATGTGCACTGATTTTGAATGATCGAAGGATTGCATAGAACTGGAAATTTCGAAAACTAGTACAGTATTTTAATTGTTATATAATCAAGTTCGTATTTCTTAATTCCTTTATGAATTCATGTCAGAAATCATATAATTTTAAATTAGATTGCCGATTTGCCCGATGCATATACCTGACAACATCCAATTTGAAAATTTAGTTTTACATGCAAACTATGAAAATGAACTTCATTTCATTTCTAATATTTGTTAATCACTACATTACGACTGAAATAGTGTTTATCAAAGTTGATACATAAAACGTAGAGCTCAATACTTGTAGGAACAATATGAGGCTGTGTTTGAAGCATTGCAAGAATTGTTCACCGTGCTAGACACATCTATTCCAGTGAAAGATTTCAGTAGATATGTTGACAAGATACAGGATAATGCGACAATTCCACAAAACCAAAAGGTGTACAGATTAGAGTTTCAGGTAAGTAATCTTATATTAACGGAAGAACTGATGATGTACGGTTTTTTTATGTAATATATAATGATACATGATTTCAAATTATATTTGAGTTGCCAGGTAAGGTTTATATGTTACATTTCCGTTTCTGAATTCCCTTTTTTTGTTGTGACTTAGTGAAATCTTTTTCCAAAGGTCAAATATAGTAGAAACAAAACATTGAATCATCTAATACATGTTCATCTTCTCAAAAGGGGATGCAATGTGATACTCACGACGGATAAGTCTACAAGTAGCCATCAAAATCTACGGACAACAATATCAATATCTGTTTTCATGTTGAGAAAATAAAAACAGAAAACAGAACAATCATCATAATCATTAGTGTTGTGAAAGGGGAAATAATTGCGTGATATAAGTTAAAAGAATAAAATATTGTGTTAAATGAAATGTGGGTATACGAATTCATTAACAGACATAAAACATCAAGATATATAACAATTACAATCACTGATGATTGTTCCGTACTTGTTGTGGGATTAACAAGTATACTCAAAAATCTTAATTTTGAATTCATCGTTCAACACGCATTATACACATGTTGTACAAATCAACTCAATTTCCGACTCATGACATATGTTAATACAAAGTGATTAAGGTATACAACCCCCTTGACCATATATAGGAATATAACGATTACGTGTCATCACTTGCAATGAAGATTTGTAGAAAAGAGTAATATATACGGTTAGTAGTCATGATGAGGTCTGACTAAAGTCTTAAACTTTGGTACGTTATTATTTAGGTTTTGTACGTAACAGTCAGTTGCAAGATATTCTTAACAAATAAATACTTATATCAGGTTACTGCTGTTCTGTAAAATAGACATATTTGAATTTAAGAACTATTTTGTTTGCGTATTTATGTTTCACAAATATATATGTTATCTGTTCATATAAAACACATGCTCATCGCCGCGATGTAGCCTTTTTGCGCATATTCGGCGTAATAATCATCAATCAATGGAGCAACCAACAATGCATCATACTAGTACTTTTTTTAATAGAGGTTACAAAGTCTTCGTCCGTCACATTTTGCTGACAAATATACATCTGCAAGACTAAAGGAGAATATTTCTAAGAATGCAGTGAATGATATTTTACCAAGTGAGTGTATAGTATATTCACTAATTCATTATGCATAATGTATACGCGTATAATTGCAATTTTCTTATATAAAAAAAAGCCACAATGTTTCAATGGAGGGAGTGAACTGCGTTTTCCAAAAAAAAAGAAAAAAAGCAAGAAAGGTAGCTTATCATAATATGGTTTTAAAGTTAGTTAATAAAAGTACAAATAATTTTTTCTACTAGCCTGCGGCTTTATATATTTTGCAATCAATTTCCAAGCATCATTGAAAGTAAACGGGAGTGTATGTTATACCTGTTAACCTATAAGTTCAAAAGTTAAAACAATAAGGTAAATTGAGGTAAGAAACAGTAAAAAAGTAAAATTCTGATGTGGACAGTTGGAGTGGTGGTACATGCTATATGAAAATGTATAGAAAATATATAAAAAAAAAACAAATCATATGTTGCGGTTGCAGTAGTTGTGTCGATCCATTCACTACTATAGCTGTTGTTAAACGAAGGATAACATAAAAGACTCGACCAAAATCTTAATGACCTACTTTACCAATGCCTTTTACATTAACGACTGGCAGTAAGACATTGAAAAAAATGTATGCCATTCCCCCTCTGTTGTGAAACTTTAATTGTTTCATTGGATCACCTCAGGAATTGAATAGCAGTAGGTCACTCGGTTGAAGAAATGAGCTGTTTGAATCTATTTGTCAAGAGCAAGATAATTTCTTAAATAATTCCTGATGTTATGTATATGTTTGGGTAAATATATACATATAAAACATATAAACATGGGTAATATTGAATAAAATATGCCATAACAGATTTTAGATGTGTGTTTCAAGGAAATCATCTGATTGTTTTTTGTTTTGTTTTTGTCCATTTTATTGTTTATGTGAAATAGATATTAATAAAATATCAACGATTTAGATAATAACATTTAAAGCCGCCTCATCTAGAGTTAAGACATAAAATGTAGATGGAATGTCTTATTGAGACGAAACATCACGAATATAAATCAAACTATGTAATCTTGTGGCGCTATGAATCAACAAAAAATATTGCAATAAGTTTAATTAACGTCTTAGACTATTCATTGGAAATGTTTTGACATATTCCTCTTTTTGTTTCATTTCGTTTTCTTTTGCATCGTAGATGACGAATACAGGCTATATCTTATGTCCTTGGGCAAAAACAAAAACGATTACATAAATGCAGTTATGATTCCGGTAAGTTTTTAAGTATCGTAAAATGTGTGTTTGGTAAAATTATGTTTAATACAAGAGCAGTTTGGTTAATTATTATTTTGAAGATTGAGCAGTCTGTAGAGGATTACTTTCTATCTATTCTCATTGTAGATTATACCATATTCCCGTAGCCTTGTTTTTTCTCAAATAGATTAACATGTATTTATAAACGTTACAAGATATATTGCATACACTTTTTAAGTTAAACATGTAAAACCTTTTGGTTTCCATATACGTGTTTGATTGTCTTTTTTAACACGTGTGAAATAGTATACATATATAATGAAACTGTTTTGTAGTATATAATAGAAATACAAAGGATATGGGGTTTCCATTTATGACACAAAATCAGTACATGCATAGCAAAAACCACTCAAAAAGCAAATGAACAGCGCTTTTGTTGCTGTTCCACATCTAAAAGTCACAATGAGGCCTTCGACACGGAGCAAAATAAAACCTCTCACCTCACTGTAAGTTTAAGACAACCCCGAGCACCGGTTTGAGCGAAACTATTAGCAAAATTCGGATAGACTTTGTAAGATGTATCACCACCAAATCGGGCCCGGTCAAAAAAGAACATATTGGAAAGCGGTACATATTTGATAGTTTCTACGGATACTATTAGGTATAAATATAAAACTTTGTAGAATATATTTTAGTTATTAAGGTATCAAATGAAAGCTGAAGGACTGGTGATCCTTGTAGAACACATATTGACTGATAATTTTGAATAATACAAAAATGTATGAATTAATTCTAAAATTTAGGGCATATGGTGCCTGTTTCACAGATATGAAGTACCTGGTTGGTGTATGCAAAGTTCGGGTAACCAGTACGGTCTGATGTATCAATAACGGTATATTGATCCCCTCTAAAATGTTTGGAATTGAAAAAGTTAACGTGGATAGGAATTAGGGCCAAGAATAGTGGTGTGTGTCTTATTAAACTTTTAGTACACAAACTGGCCTAAAATTGAGAAAATGATGTGGCACACATAAGAGTAGTTATCTCAAGAATAAATACACCATAACTTGAAAAATAGAGAAGATCGTGCATATAAATCACGGAAAAATTTTCTTTGGCCTCCACACAGCACAAGAGACAAATTCCGTTAATATAATAGAAAAACAAAGGATATTGGGTATTCATCCATGTCACAAAATTCGTACACGCACAGCACAAAACACACACAGAGTAAAAGAACAGTGACTGTATTGCTGTTCTTCATCTCAAAGTCACAGTGAGGCCTTCAACATGGAGAAAAAAAAACAAAAAGATAAAATGAACGCTTTATAATTTTTAGTATATTATTTGACACTGCATCAATTACGAAAACAACATTTTCAAGTATTCAAACATATATTAGTAACTTGAAGCAAATCAATCTTATGATTTCAGGGATACTCATCACACGGAAGCTTTTTGGTAACCCAATGTCCTTTGAAGGAAACTGTGGTTGATTTCTGTACAATGGTGTATGATCATGATTCCAGTATTGTTGTTTTACTGGATAAACTTAATGAAGTGAGGCAATTATAAACTACTTTAGTTGTATTGACATCACAATTATGATTAAGTGCAAAAAATAAACTCTTGATGGCATGAAAACTAATATATGCAGTTAATCTGGTTATATTTACATTTGTAATGTAATCAGCAGTAGTAATTGAAAGTTATAAACATTTTAATTGGCCTAAATTCTATTTACGATAAGATTGACATTTTCTATATTTTCTGAATAAATTTACATAATCGAAGTATAAACGTATCAAACTTGAAATTAGATAAAGTCGCTAATGCATGCTGTTGAGTATATGCCTTGACTGACACACACAGAATTTCAGCATTATAAATGAAACATGGAAAACTTTTACCACATATTTCTCATCACGTAAAACAACTGTAGCGTACATGTATATTGTAATGATAATTCGTGACCAAAAATGTCAAAACAGAAAGCATATCAACATGGTTATTTGTGACATCAGAATATCAGAATATCAGTGGCATTATGTTAAGGCTGAAATCATTTCGAGGAGTTGGTGTTATTAACAGATCTTTGATATATTTATATATTTTTTTTAAACGCATTTTCAGCCTTTTCGATATACAAACAAAAAAATTAAGACATAATTTATAACTATATATCTATCAAATAAGACTATGTTGACCTCTATATGTCTCTTATCTGTGTCACATGTGGTCATGCATTAATTACGTATTGCTAATTCTCCGTTTTAGTTTCTGGAGAAATTGTATAGAATTAAGTTTGTTAAAATGTATAAAATACAAACCTGACAGGTTATAACTTTTAAACATCGTTCAACAAATGCTTTAACGATGAATCTTTCAACTCCATATGTTTGAACATTCAGGTTTTTTTTTGTAACGTTATTCGGGACAATCGATACTTATTAAAAAAAAATACTGTATGCACATGATCTCAGAAATAGTGTGTCTGCATTGTATGGTTAGAATTAAATGAAGCGTAATTATACTAATTGCTTCATTGACAAAGAACTAGTTTTTATAATAATAAGGAATATGTATATATTAGCTTGTCAAATGTACTTTGGCGTCTGGTGATCGCTGTCTCAAAAATATTCTCTCTGCAACTTTCACAGTTGAACCGTTTTAAACAAATGAATAAATGAACTAAGTAAATAAAACACTGTATTCAATACTTTCTGATCCGAAGTAAAATGAAAATAACACTATATTAATTGGTTGGGTCTGAAGCGCTTTGTCATACAAGTGAGAGGTTTAGCTAGCTATAAAACCAGGTTTAATCTACAATTTTCTACATAAGGAAATGCTTGTACCAAGTCAGGATTATGACAGTTGTTTTCCATTCGTTTGATGTGTTTGAGCTTTTGATTTTGCCATTTTATAAGGGACTTTCCGATTTGAATTTTTCTTGGAGTTCGGTATTTTTGTTATTTTACTTTTTACGTAACAATTTTATAAGTTGGTTTAATTTAAGGATGCTCCATTATGGTCAGGAAAAGACAAAACACTAGCGTTTGAAAATTTTAACATTGACCTAGATATTGATAATACACCGGAAGAAATCCAGCTTTCCCTGGTTCATCGAGGGGTAAGAAAATAAGACAAATTTTAAATAATGGTAGAATTGTTACTTTTGTAATATTCAGGACACAAATGATATGATCATTACAATTGGACTAGGGTTCATGTTGCATTTTGTTACCAATAGAATTGTTATTAAAATACGTACAATTTCGTCCAAACGATGGGACAAGAAAAGTGTATATTGTGTTACATCTAGCATACACCTCGACATATTGATAAGTGTGATGTAGTAGTTGTTATTTGTTATGTTATGGGTGTAAAATATACGTTTGGCATTTGGAAATGAACCATGATACATTGCAAATGTTTAAAGTGTTATTTCTAATTTCATATTCAATATTTTGATTATGTAATAATACAAAACATGCAACTCATATTGGTATATTTTACATACATGAATATCCAATATAAGTGGCTAAATTCCTGTTTACTGATAGACATGTCTATGATAAGCAAATATGGTCTGATGAATGTAAAAAGCATTACAAGTTTATGGTACTCACTTAGAAAATAACCACTTGCTAATGACAGACATTTGTGTATAGACATATACCCAAAAGAGAATCCAAGAGTGTAGTATACTGTTATTATTATCTTAGCAATGCAACTGAGAAGAGGGTTACCAATAAAAAAGGGCACAGCCAGCTGTTCTACATTTGAAAAAAATCGCCACAATTTCACAGTAAATATTTAATTTAGTACCCACGCAGTATTTTATAAAACAGAATTTCATTAGAACAATGTAAACAATCGGATTTCAGGAAGTGAAATACTGACTGTTATAATATTTTACATTTCCTTGATAATGCAAACAATACTACCCACTGAAAACTATAGCCTTAACAGAATGAAAGCATCTATAATCTAAATGTGTTAGTGTTTGTATTTTTAAGATTCAACACGAAAAAAGGTCTATATTTGTTTTATCTCCAAGAGAAATTGAAAGTGACAGTACTTTGCTACCGTCAACAACGAATATGCTTGTACTATTGCAAAGAGTAATCGAACAACGAAAACAGCAAACAGGTCCAGTGACTGTCGTATGCAGGTATGTTACAAGTTAGACCTCTTAGGTTAATTTGGCAATGCAAATTAGACTTCTAAAAACAATGAACTCATGTCTCACCTGAAATAAATAACACAGGGATGAAATATGATATAACATCCACTAACAAATGCTGGTTAATTAATGAAAGCCTCGAATAGCGAAAAATTTCGCAGCCCTTTTTTTTTAAATGAAAAAATATCGGTACACTTTCTAGTATGCGTTTTCCGTTTTAGTTATTACACCAACATAATTTCTAGATTAGTAAATACATTTAGTGTTTAGTTTTCAGTATCATTGTAGTATTATAAAGGACAAAATTTAAAAAAAAATGTTTTAAAATTATCACATTACAAAATACTAAACAAATCAGACGACATAACAGTATCGTTGCATTTAGAAAATGACACTGGTTCTATTCTATTATTATAACTACTTGGATTCTGTTTTTAATATTTCGAACCCAGAAAAATTATAAAATGATTCTTAATCAATTTTTCCTAATGTTAATGAATTGCTTCCTTTATCCATCCCTGGTCTGACATGACCGCGGATAAATAAAATGAGCAAGGTATGTTTTCTAAACATATATTTTTCCAGAAATGGTGCTACAAAAAGCGGACTGTTTGCATTAAGTTTGATTTTAGAGAAAATGAAGATAGACGATCAAGTCGACGTGTTTCAAGTAATAAGAACAATACAAATTCGGCGACCAGAATTCTTGACAAATTTTGTAAGTTTTCCTCTAAAGACATTGATCAATATGAAATACATATACATCACAGAAGCTGTCGAAGCCATATTCCTGATTTGTTATATAACTGTTAGAGCCATACAAAAGTGCGAAAAAAGCATCAAGATCATACAAACATATCAAACATACATCACCTTAAGGATGTAGTCATGTAAGGTTTAGGAATTTTTGTCAGATGTTCGGACTCATTGGTTTTTTTACCCATATCACTCACTTTTCTTTTCATATAAAACTTCAATACATTGTAGCTCATAAAAGGTCAGTTACCAAAATTTAAGCAGATTCTTTTCTTACGATTTGAGACCCAAATAATGCCAATGCTAAATATAAGGTAAAAGTCCGAGTCAGCCTTTTCTCGCCATTTTTAAAAAACATTGAATATCTCGAAAAGGAGGTCCATAACCTATCAATGTTTTTAGCTTATCTTGTTCCTTATCTAATGGTCTTCTGATTCATAGTATCAATTTTAAATTTCAGATTTTTTAAACTTCAACCTACTACATCCTTAAAAGTACAAAAGACATGTAATGTTTCTCGATTATATTCCTAGCCTTATACATGTATTCATTGAGTTATAGATCTAATAAATTGTAAATTCATATCATTATTCGACAACATGAAACCTTATTCAAACAAGTCCAATAGTTATTCACATACATGATCAACGTAAGATGGTGATATTTTTTTTATTTTTAGGATCAATACGAGTACTGTTACAAGTGTATCAAAGATTTTCTAGAAAGGGATTCGGTATATGCAAATCTTTAGTTCAAAACAGTTATCTGTTTGAGTAAGCAACGGATTTCTGTACACGTATATTTCGTCATTAATATGAAAAATAACCTTGTATGGATTTCCATACGGTAGTCTTATATTATGTTATAAATACAATGTGTATAATAAATATATTTATATAAAATTATGATGATTATTCGTATGAATGACTGGTCCAGTCGACAACATTATTAGTTTATAAGAAGGAATAAATTGTATCTATATATCTTTTTAAAGCTACTAAGGAATAAATGTTCTTTCCAATGAAATATGATCGTCCGCTTGGTATTTCTTTTTTCAAATAAACAATATTTCCTTTTGTGTTAACATGGTTAAGGTGCTATAACACAAATAAATAACTAGAATATTGTGTCTTTTTCAAAATGGCATATTAAAAAGGGGATGCAGACAATGTATTGTTATACCTGTTGGTGGATGTTGGTCTGCATAATATGTTGAACAGGTCGATATTGATGAATCAACACAACGTGTAGAATAATCACTACTGTAACTATTAATTTGGTGATGTCTGAGTGTTAGATAGAAGTCATTGACCAATCCGCTATTGTGTGATACCTAATCAATTGGTATAACTTATCAACGAATAATGTATTTTATAAGAGTAACAGGTCGAGTGTTGCATGTGCAGCAGGATCTGCTCATCCTTCTGTTGCACCTGAGATCACCCCTTTTTTGTGGGGTTCGTGTTGCTCAGCCTTTAGTTTGCTATGCGTGTATGTCTTTTGTGTACTGTTGGTTGTCTTTTCGTGATTGTTTGTTTTTTGACATGGCATTTTCAGTTTGTTTTCGACTTATGAGTTTGATTATCCCTTTGGTTTCTTTCGCCTCTCTTTTACTTATACAATTTTTGTTTTTCTATTAGATAAAACATACGCCTCGTGATCTTTCTTTGATTTTGGTTAATATATTTAGGTCGTTTGTTTTGTAATTAACCTCTTCCCCTGTGTTGGTTCTTTTACACTTTTGATTTTCGAATAATCGGCTTTGAACGTTTTTGGTGAAGGGAAATAAGCTATACGGACGCATTACATTGATAAAGATTATTTCATTTTTTTCAAAACGTTCATGTCATATGCAAAACCAGTTTCTCAGATAACAACGCACGTGAATGTAATACTTTCCCGATTAAATAAATCTTGAATAGCAGGGATATATGTATGTATATCATATATTGATATTGTACAAACACTGAAGAACAGCAACCAATACAAGACTATAGCATGGCATGAATTCCTACCAGCTGATATAATAATATTTATATACTGCAGTCTTTGATTATTCTTTGCTGGTACTTGGTATTTCCATGCATTTAATCATGAAGTCATAATAGAGTTTGGTGCTTTTCTTTCAGCGATTTCTATTTGGGTTCGTTTATATACCTTTTTTTATGCCATTGGCCGAGCATTATGTACATGTATCATATTTTAATTAGTTACATGAAAAATGAGACATCATCGGAAAAGTGCGTTAAAAAAGAAATTATCGTGTGCTTGTTACCAGAAAAGAACGTCTATTTCGAGAAAATATCAAAAATTAAGATTCATATTAAGAAATCAGATTCCATCACTGCTTTTCATACGACACGACATTGCGACAATTCCCTTCTCGAAGCACGCGTTGCTCTTCTATATGTATGGCTAATTTTCCATGTACTGGTACATATGTGGATTCTTAAGGGTTCTGAAGAACTTCTGGACAATTATAAATCTCGGTCTATTTCTGAAATTAATTCTAACATAACTTTTGATTTTTTAACCCTGTATACCAACATTCCCCATGTGAAATTATAAAATTGTTTTGAATAGACATTGAATGACAAACTTTTTTCTTATGTGACGTTTACATTTTCTGACGTCAGACACGCGAAGCAATGAATGTGGGTCTTAATTTGATAGATGCTTTTGTGCTTTTTTTGTAAATAATTGTTTGTTTTGATATTGTAACACAGTGATGACTGCTGTACCCATATTTTGACTATTTTATTTATAATGTCTGTTTTGTTCAAGCATCGTTGTAAATATAACGAAATTTGATAAGACTGTCGTACAAGTGAGAGGTTTAGCGCTATAAAACCAGGTTCAATCCACCATTTTCTACATTTGAAAATGCCTGTGCCAAGTCAGGAATATGACAGTTGTTGTCCATTCGTTTGATGTGTTTTGTCATTTGATTTTGCCATGTGATTAGGGACTTTCCGATTGAATTTTCCTCGGAGTTCAGTATTTTTGTGATTTTACTTTGTACATGTATGTATTCTTCTAAAGTAACATAGTCACAATTACAAAATGTAGAAACCTTATTAGTTAGGAATTATAAATTCTAAAATCAAAGAGTCATAACATAATTTAATGATATTTAAACAAATTTGTTTATATGCAGTGTGTATCAAGACAACCAAATATTATTCCACATTGCTGTCGGACATTTTTTTTTGTACAATTTGCAACGTAAGCGCATCAAATGACGTAATCTATGTAACCAAAATAGATGATAGTATGTCTTTAACGCCATTTTCAGCGCAAGTGGCTATATCATGACGGCCTATTATTATTGCTGGAGGGTGAAGGTTTTAGTTTTCAACATACCTGCAAATATTCCTGATTTACGGACATTTTCTCGTAAAATATAGGATATTTATGTGACTTAAAAACTTTAAAATTATATTTGAATTTTGGCATCACAGTAAAAAAACATTACTGGTCGAGAAAAGTTAGTATACAAACTTTAAAAATTAAGATAAACGTAATGTAAATAAAAGTATGAATACCTGCTAAAAACATCTAAGATTGAGGACTGTCTCTTCATTTTTACACCTTGACATCAAAGAAATCGACCAAGTAATTAGCGATCGTTGATTACATGTTCATTGTGTAAACATACATGTCAAGGTACTAGTACATGTATTTCGCCTTAAGGTAAGTAATAACAACTTTATGACTGGTGATTACGATAGACAAATTGATTTAATCAAAGAATTCATTTTTCAAAATGTTCAAGGTGCACATTTTATTGGTACATGGTGCACCATTTTTGCAAACACAGGGGGTGGTCACCGGCACCGGGTGACCACCCCCTGGATCCACCTCTGGTTGAAGCTCACAATATATCAAATCCATAAAACATTGTTGCAGCGGCAAATATTATACTACATCGACAGACATACTGATTTTTTTCTTTTGTATTACGACAAATTCAAAGACTGTGTAATAATGTGATTATTTCTGCTGCCGGCTGCTATAAAACTGTAATTTCTTCACTATACTGAAAAATTCTACAGTATACGGATATGGATAGTAAACTGTACATTGCTAGAAAACAAAGAAATATGATGCCAACGTTAAAAACGTTAATACCGTAATACAAATAGACAGGAAATCCGAAAAAAAATTGCAAAACATTGTTTAACAAAATGTTAATCTGCTAACCGAGTCCCTGTGTGTTGCATCAATTGAGAGTTTAAACCTTTAGAACATGAACCGTTTAACATACACAGATTTTATGCTTTGTTAAACCATAGTAATAAGTTGACATTTAATCTATTGTAGACATTTAAAATCTTTTGTTCAATCAATAAAATTGAAGTGCATGTGTGAATAATAGATCTAGCGTTTTTACCTACTTATATTTTGTTAGATATAAAGTACGGGTATATGCACTAACAGTTTATCTTGTACTTCCTGTTTTACAGTGGACACAATGTAATGTTGTTTGGTAGCAATGAAGGTACATTTTCGCTTTATATCATTGAACAAAAAACTATTTGAATCTTATTTTCATATCAATTTTTTAATTAGGTTGTATAAAGCGTGTACAACGAAAGAAGAACATATTAGCCTATTAGATACTGTTATGAACATCTTTTTCGTTCAATGTGATTACACTACTGAGGAAGACCCGTGAAGGGATAAAATAGAAAATGTATTTTAATTTCTAATAACATTTAATGTTATTTATCAGGAATATCTATAGTTGAAAGATAAAAAAAAAGAAAAAAAGATTAATGTAATAATAAATCGTAAATGAAGTTATGCTTAAACATGTTCATGTGTTAATTTACATGTATCTAAATTAAATGTTATCCTATGAATAAGACAAAGGCTCTAAACACTTAATTACACAGCCACTGATTTTCTTTTATGCTTCCGTTCTTTGTTACTTATTAGTAACACATATTTGATATGTTTTTTTTCTTCTTCAAATACCTGTAATATATAATACCGTGACAAAAAATGATCTTCAAACATAATTGAAATTGTGTACTATGTACGATTATCAAGTTCCTGTAGTCATGTTTTTTATGAAAAGAGATTACCGCCATGATCTTCTCATATGCATTGAAGGTTATCTTGTGTACCTTCGTCAGTCACTGAGACAACAACTGAATGACACACAAAACCAGCAGAAATGTTCCTCCATAATGACCACAGAGCGGTGGAGAATTTATTACAACTTACTTTTTCCAAAGAAACTTATGTCTTGTAGATCCCGTTACTAAATGACTACATAATGTAAAACCATTATTATAGTCCAATAAAAACAGGCATCACCATGACAAAAAAGAAAACCGACGAAAAAAAAACAAACAATAATAACTAAACACTGCCGTAAAACAAAAGACAATGCAAAACGAACCCGACCATAAACTTGTGATGAACTCAAGTGCTCTAGGAGGGTAGAGTAGGCTGTTCCTGTGCCACTGGGGACACCCGTCGTGTAATTCTATGTCAGTAAAAACACGTATATAAGTCATATTCGGTTATGTCACAATAAAGAAATGTGGTCGGAATTGAGATTACTTCAAACAGAACATGGGTTTGGTCATTTTGAGATATAGATATTCAATAACGGTCGACCAAACCATGATTGCGTCAGTAACAATCGAACGGATGACTTCAATTGTATTAATTGGAACCCTTGAAAAAAGCTTGAAATCAGTTATGTGATATAACCATACTAAATGTGTAAACGTTGTGATGTGAGGTTTAACAATCCTTTCACCGAAAACATTTTATTGAAAAATCTTAGAAAAATAGTAAATTTCAAAGTTTTGAATGAAAACCAAATTGATTGATGAAAACAATGTGTTACATGTACATTGCTGTACATATTCTAATCAACAACCGTAATGCATGTTATTACAGCTTCTGTGTTCAATTGTCTTTTTTGAGAAAGTCTAGATTGAAACCTGTCCACAACGATTCAATATAAAAATTAAATTTGATCATAATTACAAATTGAATCATGTTTCCAATTACAATGTGTGTGAATAAGTTTAATTGGTGTCCTAATTGCAGACTGAAAAGAAGGATAGAATAAGGAAATTTGTAATCATTTGACTCTAAATATAGCAACTAATAATATTTGATAAAACAAAAATGTGAAATACAGTTACCACTATTCTTAATTTGACTTCACACTTTATGAAATTTCCAGCGCTCCTTTGTCATTTTTCATTGCAAACAACTGACATTTCGTATGAAATTGCAGTAAAAACGAGGAGGAGCTGGTATGTGTTGAAGTGTTTTTCTGGTTTACCATCTTACCTTACAGCAAATATAAGATAACAAAGAGATAATTTCTGTCATTCGTACATACTGTGTTGATTAAAATGTGTTCATGTGTGAATAGAATTTGTTTTGGAGTGTGCTGTTGACCTGCACTATTGATTTAATAATATTTTTTTTCATAGATTATGGTTTTGTTTTAAATAAAAACAGAAAAAATTCTCAGCATTAGCAAAAAATGTTACAAAAAGTAAATCTGCACGGAGATATTGTCTTTTATATAAATATAATTTTATTTGGTAACGGAGCCTTGATGGCAGTGTGGTCTACGTAGTTCCTCTACATGTTAGAGATCACTAGTCTGTCAACACTAAAGTCACGAGTTCGAAATCCACTTAGGAGAGGTGCGTTCGGCTTCATTCTTAATTCACTAGGATTGGTAGTGTTCCTGTCGAAGACCGATGGATCTCTCCGGCTTGTACGCCGGCTTCCTTCATCCAGCAATAATAATAGTCCGTCATGATATAGCCACTTGCGCTGAAAATGGCGTTAAACACAAAATACCATCTATTTTGGTTACATACGTCATTTGATGCGTTTACGTTGCAAATTGTATAAAAACAAATGTCCGACAGCAATGTGGAATAATATTTTGATTGTCTTGATACACACTGCATATAAACAAATTTGTTTAAATATAATTAAATTATGTTATGACTCTTTGATTTTAGAATTTATAATTCCTAACTAATAAGGTTTCTACATTTTGTAATTGTGACTATGTTACTTTAGAAGAATACATACATGTACCAGTACATTGAAAATTAGCCATACATAACGCGTGCTTCGAGAAGGGAATTGTCGCAATGTCGTGTCGTACAAAAAGCAGTGATGGAATCTGATTTCTTAATATTAATCTTAATTTTTGATATCTTCTCGCTCGAAATAGACGTTCTTTTCTTGTAACAAGCATACGATAATTTCTTTTTTAACGCACTTTCCGATGATGTCTCATTTTTCATGTAACTAATTAAAATATGATACATGTACAATTTGGTGTCAAAGGACTGTTGTTGACTTACCTTTCAATTAGAGTTATATTAAACGTGTGAGGTAGATGTCAAGTAAAATTTCAAGTCAAAGTTCGATTTATGCTTCGTAGTCGATTAAGAATTAAGAGTGAATATTTGTGTAAAAATTCGAATTAGTGAGCTCGAGTTAAACTTCGATTTTGAGTCACATTTCGAACTAATACTCGAACTCTAATTAATACTTTAAATCAAAATCTAAATCTATCGCAAGCAAGCAACATTCTAGTTACGAACTAGCGAGCAACATTTTCTTGCGTGTCTGGTAATTTTGATTTGATAAGGTAAAACAGTTTTTGCAGAAACCTATTTTAGATTTTTTGTTCATATTTGTTTATAATATTTTATGATGGAATTGCGGTGAACCGTATTGTTGCCAGTCTATTTAATTGGTTCCATGTACATGCAAAACATAATGTCTGTAAAGAATTTATTAATATTAAGTTATATTGAATAATGTTGTTATTAGTAATCTAGAGATTTTTATGATTACAAAACTTACTTTCAGATGATTTCAAAGCTGCAACCATATGTATTTTTAATTATCATAACGACGTTTTTTGTTACAGTAACAGCGCAAAGTAAGTATAATTATACAAAATTGTACTATCTTTACCAATTGTAACATGTATCTATTATGAAATAACAATATATTTTTGAACTTACATTGATTAATCAAGTGAATCTGTAATAGTTATACACCGAGGGATAGGTGTGTCTGGATAAGAAACCCCGACGGCCGGAGGCCGGAGGGTTTTCTTGTCCAGACACGCCGTATCCCGAGGTGTATAACTAACTTACACCCAATGCTAAACCCTATATTTGTTAACATTGATTATTAAATGCAAAAGAACGGATAGCATATTTATTGACAAAACCGAACCATGATTTATAAGAAAAACATTTTTTTTTACATAAAACCCCACTAGTAACCTTACTTAGGCTACGTTCTTTCAAACTTTGACAAGTGAGTAGATTTTACAAATGTCAAAGTTGCTGTTTTGCATATTCCCGTTAAATCCTGGTGCAAATATGGATCAGCAGTTCAAGGTTGACCGTTTCGTGCATTCTTATCACACAAAAAAAAAATACACCATGCTCCTTGTATGCAGTTGTCATTATGGACGGGTAAAAGACGGACGACATTTTGAGTCAAGCGTTGGAATTGGTAGAAGAGACTAAAGATAAAGGCAATATTATAACCCAAAGTACTTAACTGTATTGATCAGATTAATGAAGGTAATCATAAATGTTTTTTTTATGTTATGGTTTTTTAAAAAAAAGAAGCCCCCCCCCCCCCCCCATTCTCGAGAAAAAACAAACATTCATATTCGGACACACTGAGGCATAGGTGTGTCTGGATTAGAAACCCGACGACCGGGGTCCAGGGGAGGGGAGGGGGGGGGGGTCTGGGAGTTATAACTCCTGTTTTTTTTTAAGATCAATGCTTTAGAATAGAGACATATGACTTGGATCAAAAATTTTACCTCCAAGCAAAGGAGTATTATAGAGCAACCATTTGAACTTCAAAAAGGGGGGGGGGGGGGGGTATGGGTTTTTGTCGGAGTCAGAAAATATTTTTTTCTCGCAAACTGCGAACAACTTTATTTAGTTTTTCAACGCTATCAATCAAATTATATTTCTTTAAAGGATTTCTTTTTATTCAAAATAGATGCTTAATATTTTTTTCGCTATTGGAATTTCCTAAAATCTGTTTTTAATATCTTGAAACACCTTGTAGTGAACACTATTAGTAATTTCTTATTTTCATGCTGCTATTTGAAAAATAATCAATTTATATTGTAATGAATAACAATGGACTGTGTTTTCGGAATGTAGAAGCAGGGGTTTCCAGAAACCCCGCTCGTCACACCCTGTGGTCAAAATCCATTGTTATTCGTAACAATAGATCTATTCAATTTACACTTGTTTCAGAAATAGAAACTATGAAGTATAACAATAGAACAATGGTGTAAATTGTGGTTACAGGAGACCAGGCGCGTGCAATGTATATATTCAACATCGAGGAATCACATCAAAGGGAATTATCACAATACTATAAAATAAATAGTTTACACTAATTGGGTGGTCATTAGGGGAATAGCATTGTGATTGCCCATGAGAAGTCAACTTTTGTTCGAGGCGAAGCCATGGGCAGTATTTGGTTTAAAGGTCGTTGGGTGTTTTATTATACCGAACAACTTTTTACAAACCTTAACAGAATTTCAGGAATCGTTTACTGAATCTTCTTCATTATCAAGAGATACATATACCATGCAGAGTAAAAGTTTGATTTGATTTTTATTATCAGTATTTTAGAAACGACTTGCAGTCAACATCTATGTACAATCTGGGGTTAAAGATTTTACAAATTGTATAACATTATCAGAAAAAAAAGATCTCCTTGGTTAGACCTTCATGACATTTCACAGAAGCTTTTTTATTATCAAAAGATAAATATTGGGTAATATTGTTTAACAATATTTTATCGTATTAAACGGATATATATATATTAAACAAACTTTCTCTTTTCTGTAGTTGATAGTTAGATACATATCAGATACCTTGTTAAATGCCGGTTGTGCGTCATGTTTCAAATTACATTCTTCAAAGACAATCTTTGCAATTTTGTTGCAACAATGTACACCAAGTTTCCTACATAACTATGGTTGCTAGGTTTGAAAGTGAGGAAAAAACCGACAAACATAAAGAATAACGAGGTTATAAACAGCTGTCTGAAGGGTGTTTTGAAATATATGATTTTGTTTTTCCATTTGTGTTTAGATGACTGAATACAATTCAATTGCATGTGTACAAAAACATTTGTTTAATTAAAATGTACAGTAAAACCTCAAACATCAGCAGTAAAACTATAATTAGGAACGTAAATGACAATGTCTCATACGCTAAAGACCGTATATTGTACATGTGTTTAACAGTTTAACATACATTTTACAATGGAATGGATGACTGTGTAACAAAATATTAGTGCATTTTAAAAATATACATTAAAACCACTAAACATATATTCGTAACGGAAATGTCAAGTATCATAGTTATGATAATCAACGTGTGTTACATTAATAGTTTAACATATTAGAAGTATCCATAACAAATAGATAGACAGTGACTAATGTAGCATACATGTAACAACATTATGCAAATGTAAACAACAAAGCCTATAGTTCAGTGGTTGTTGTAGGTTCATGTCTGTCATATTTGATTTTCGTAAATTGTTTTGTTATAAATTAGATTGTTAGTTTTCTCACTTTCGAGTTCGTTGCATTTCCGTTAAAAACTTTGGTTTTAGAGTGAACATCATTCGTGCGTTTAGGGGCATCGTCACTTCCTTCCCATATTGAGCGATCGGTTGTAAAATATTTATTGCTATATTGCACGAATTATTCGGCAAATTAAATTCTTATAATTGATAATCAGCCCTGCTATCATTAGGAAATTGTGATTAAGTACCTACGGAACAAACATTATTTCTAGTTTATCCTGCACGAAGACGTTAGATGAACTTTTATAAAGCAGGGATACAGGCAATCCCCTCTATCTGGTAAATGACGTCATGAAGGCGCGAATATTTGACGAACTTTTCAGGTGAAGGACATAACTCGAAAGTGGTCTTTTGAATTGTGTCATATTTTTCATGTCCGGGCCTTTTATAACCGACTATACGGTATGGGTTTTTCTCATTGTTAAAGGGCGTACAGTTGCCTATAATTACTTACATCCACTTCATTGAAATTTTGGTGGATAGCTGTTTCATTGAGAACCATACCACATCTCCTTATTTCAATTTATTACAAGTATAATAACAAAATAGAAAAAAGTACCCTGTAAAATGTTCACCCTTTTTTACAGTAAATCTGGCTTTACATGGAATAGTAGCACAAGAAACAACATTTAAAGACGCAGCTGGTATTTCATACAATGCAAACCTGGCAGTAGAAGGACATGCGAATAATAATTGGGCAGATGGATGTTCATCTACAGCTGATAACCAAACGACAGCATGGTGGCGTCTATTTCTTCCCAAATTAGCCTACATTACAAATGTTAAGTTTTATCTACGGAGTGATGGTAAGTCCAAAATGTTCAAACTGTTAGTTGCTCAAAACCATTATTATCTCCCATCTAGAAGCGCTAGTATGAGCCATTGTCATCTCTTGGCGTCTGTATTAGTTCGTTGTCGTCATTTTAGCCGTCCGTCACCGTCGGTCATCTGTTATCTTTTGCAAAAGTCTTCTCATCTGAAACTACTGTGCCAACTGAAATCAAACGTATCAAGAATTGTCATTGTGATATCTGGTTCAAAACATATGTCCGATGATTCTGTCTACAAACCAAAATGCAAACAAGGCTAATAATAAAACATAAGGGATTAAAATGCAAGTATCGTCTATTATTTGGTAAACTGTTGTTTATTGGGATAATCAGACGGGCCAGAAAAGCTCATTATGTACACATTTACCTAAAAATGTACCTAAATTGTCAAACGATCATTTTTTTCTCTTAAACAACGAATTGTTACGTCTTTTTTTTTTCTGACCGATGTTGTTTATTATGTGGAAAATTATATAAAGAGAAACTGTATATGGCAAACATATCAACAGGAAAAGATCTACAAATACGTCAAATTGTTAAAATTGTCTGTTGACTCTTCATCGAAGTCATTGCTATTTACTAGCGATTTTTATCCATCTTTTTGTATTCTTATAATAGATAGAAAGAAATTTTAATAAAAAGTAAAATAACAAAAATACCGAACTCTGAGGAAAATTCAAAACGGAAAGTCCGTAATCAAATGGCAAAATCAAAAGCTGAAACACATCCAACGAATGGATAACAACTATCTTATTTCTGACCTGGTACAGGTATTTTCTTATTTAGAAAATGGTGGATTAAACCTGGTGTTATAGCTAGTAAAAATGGCCCAATATGACTAGATTTACAAATTGTCACACGGTTGAAACCTTCACTCTTCTCCTTTTTATGAGTTATTACCATTAAATGACGATTTAAACCGATATTTGAGATTTTATGAATGTATCATCAGCCCTAAGTCAAGATATTTTCATTGAAAACGTACCAATTAGGTACCTTTTCCGGAATTTGTCGAGTGACGACGAATTGCCATGCGATAATAACCGGAAGCAGTTAATAAATTTTTCATATCAACACCATTTTAGAAAATATGGAATTTACGCAAATTTATTGCTATTATCATACTTTAAAAATAATTACAAGTTATTTACTCCAAGGATATAATAAATATATTTATCGTATACTCAAAGCAAATCACTTATAGTTTTTACAGTATGATAATAGCATTACATTTACGTAAATTCCATCTTTTCCGTTATGGTGCTCAGCGGGCTGATATGAAAACTGTATCAACTGCTTCCGGTTATTATGCCTTTCCGTAACGTTATCGCATGTCAATTCGGCGTCACTCGGCAAATTCCGGAAAAAACACCTCAATGGTACGTTATCAGTGAAAAGAAAAGAAAACCAAATTAGGATAGAAAAAAAAACAAATATTAGGACACAGGAAAATATATTTTGAGTAATGCAAAGCAAACGATACAATAAAATGCATTTTTTCAAAGTTTAAGAAATGTTCATTCTTGACTATCGATCTTGATTGAACGGAAAAGGCATCGTGCACGACTTTTTGACGCAAAACAGTAAGACTACTACAGATAATAAACGTTTGAATGCTAATATGTTATAGGTGTATGGTATGTTGGTGCATTTAATCCTGAACTAAGATTTTTTTTTGGGTAAAATATAACTATCCTAGACCTGCATAAACCTTTGACATAAATAACTTTAAATTTTGATAGGATAGTTTTGATTTCTTTGTTATTTCATTTCCATCGGAGACTGCCTATGAAAAAAATGAAAGGCGTTGATTTTCGAAACTATCCGAGAAACTTTCCAATTGAAACTTTATTCCTTTACATTTGTGGTCGGACGGAAAGTCAACATCAAGATTAAACAACAGACGGACAGATAGACAGACGAATGGAACGGTCTGACTGAGGAACTAAGGACTAACAAACTGCAACATTTCCAGATTTATGCCTCGCTTCGTTATGAGAGACAAAAATCATTTATTATATCTAATCATATCAATGTTTTGTCTTTTTGGTATAATTGCTGATGGTGATGATGAAAGTGATGATGATGATGATGATGATGATGATGATGATGATGATGATGATGATGATGATGATGATGATGATGATGATGATGATGATGATGATGATGATGATGATGATGATGATGAGGAGGAGGAGGAGGAGGAGGAGGAGGAGGAGGAGGAGGAGAAGAAGGAGGAGGAGGAGGAGGATGGGAGTGGGATGGTAGTTGACCCTGCGTTTTACTTGACCAACACACTACAAAAATCTATTTTCTAAAATCTGCCTTCTGATTAATTGATTGATTGATTGATTGATTGTTGAATATAAATCAATTATCTCATGCAGAAAAAAATTGACAAACGATACAGAAGGTATAATCACAGAGAGTACGTTTGAAAATTCAGACTGCCTCTGGAAAATTATGGCATGTTTGAAAGCAACAGAAATATGTTAACTTAATTGATGATGGTTAGAATGACATAATCTGGAACTTCATTTCAGAAATGTCGATCAGTATGATATCATAAACATGGAAAAATTGACTTATTTATCCTTATTGAGCCGTTTCATTCGAAGTTTGGGAAAATTTAATATGAGCAAGAATATGACACAATTTATTTGTAATTTTTTTCCTTTTTGGAGAAATTTTATTCCTCTGGTTGAGGTGTCTCTTCCTTATAAATCGGCGTATTATTTACTCAGTAAGGAGTTCCTTTAAGTCAGACTTAAATAATCGTCCTTTTTTATTTTTATTTTTTATCGTCACTGTAATTGTGAAATATAGAAAAGGGGACATGATTTTTTTGAAAATTATAATAAACTGCACCAGGAAACCATCAAACATTGTATTATTTTCTGGATTGTGACATTATCTAGAGAGAGTTATCACCGACTTCTGCTTGAACAACACTACGAGTGCCGTATTAATTAATATCTGTTTTTTGGTTTACAGAACCAGAGCGCATGAATGATTTCCGATTGTACTTTTCAAATGACACTGTGTATGCTAAAAGTGAACGGTGCTATAGAGATACGAAAAACCAAGCCTACCGAAACCTGAATCAGAGTATCGATTGCGATTTAAGCCCTACCAAGAATGTTTATTTCTTCAACAGAAATACACTCATCGAATTATGTTACATAGAGGTATATGGAAAAGTATTAAAACAATATTTTTTAGAATCAGACGGATGAACTCTATAAGCCCAATTCAATTAAAAAGAAAATACAAGTTGCATTTTTATCTAAACGAACTATTAATTACTGAATAGACATAAATAGTAGAAATATGACTGGTTCAGTAAAACTGGTACCGTAATTGTTGTTTAATTTGAGCTAACATAGCTTAATTTGACAACAGGTACATTTTGGTGATGTGCATAGATTTTTACATTGGTACCAGTGGATTATCGGATTCATTCCTGATTTCTTCGTCATACATTTATAAAATTGATGGGTAACAATTTAATGTATGCATCTCTGGATCAAATAGTAGCAAACATTAATAAAATAACACTTGATTTAATTTAATACATTGCATATAGTGAAATATATACTCATTTCCGCATAATAAAAGTTTGTATAAAGTTGTCAATTTCTTTAACACCTGTTAATTGTGCTTTAGACTTGAGTTTTAGTATATTGAAGGACCTTTGTCTGATTTTAAAAATATACTTTAAATTGTTAAATGTTCGAATTAGCTCTCGCCGCGATATAGACTTTTTGCGCTGAGGCGGCGTAAAGCAAACACCAATCAATCAATCAATCTAACACCTGTTAGCACATTTCGGTTCCTTGAGAGAGCTCAAAAAGGTTATGACCTTTAAAAAATGAAAATAACACGTTAAACTTAGCTAATCATCTACTGGGGTAATCGACAACCACACGTTGATTAAATTGTTCTAAACAATGGGTCCAGAAAGTTTTAAATGCAAAAGAATAAGAGAAATTCATATACATAACACATATAACAGGAGATGATGGAGTTTATACGTCAATTAAACAGAAACCCCACGACGGAAATATCCTTTGATATTAAAGAGAACCATACAAACTTCAAAAGTAGACAGGAGTCTAAACAATATATCAAGTCTATAAGGCATCAACCATTTATCTTCTGTGGGTGGATAATGTTCTTTCTCTCAGAAAGTTTTATACATTGAAATAAATGAAAAGTACAATATTTTACAGAATGTACCTGAAATATGCATCAAACACTATATAAAGTAATCGAACCAAAACAAAAGCATAATGTACAGTTCAAATTCAATGATATCAACTATTTACAGTTCATATTTGTTAAATAGATATGTAACAGAGTATAACAAAAATACCGAACTCCAAGGTAAATTCAAAAAGGGGAAGACCAAAAAAATTGACAAAATAAAACGTTATCAATCAACGGAACGAGTGAAACAACTGTCATATTCCTGACTTGGTATGGGCATTTCCCGAAGAAAATGGTGGGTTAAACCTGGTTTTATAACTAGCTAATCATACTACTTTTAATCTTGATTAAGATAATTAAGAAAATATTCTTGTCACAGTTTATAATAAAATCAAACGTACACTACGGTTACATTGCATGCATCAATTTTCAAACAATTTAATAAAGTAAACGTTTATATAAATTGACTGGATGAGATCAAGTACAGTATCTCCTTGAAATTGACATTACTTTATGATGGCATACTATTTCTGCCTTTGATGAGGTAGATGTGTGGTCCACATATTTAAAGATACAAAGGACAGTCATTGTTTTATTCCCTATTCCGATACAAAAAAGTGCATTTAATTATTAACCAAAACTTTTTATACATTAAACATCTTGCCGTAACGTTACATGTAAAAGCACGTGACGTGTAGCGCGGTGAATATCCTTTTTTTCGGGTGAATATGCTGTTTAACTGTCTTTTGATGAGGTAAATATGTGTTTTAATTGACTTCTGAAAAATGATATTCACTGAGGCCAACGACTGAAGTGAATATCAGTTTTTTCAAAAATCAATAAAACCACATACTTATCGAGACAAAAGACGGTAATTGTTTTATTCCGTAGTCCCAGAGATAAAATGTATGTAACGGCAATTATTTACCAAGACCAATCGTACATCAAACGATTTTACCATAATTATACACGTAAAAGCACGTGACGTTTTGTGAGGTGAATATACTTTCTCGCAGGTGAATAATGGTGACAATGCTGTTTTATTCAAAATTCGATTTATATGAAAAATGTAATTAAATAATACCAAAATGGAAAAATTTATTTTTTTTTTATTTTGATATTAATGTCATGGTTATTATTTCATGAGTCATAGTAGAATAAATATGCAGAGATCTTGATTCTCTTTCTACACGAGCCCTCAGATCTGACTTTCCCATTCCGACCGGACATACATCACGTCCAAAACACTGACGCCCCACTTGAGCAAAGTTTACTACCGGAACGGGGAGGTCCAAGGGACGACCAAGTTCTATAAAGTTACCCAATAGGGTAAACATTTAATGCAGATTTACTTAGGCTGCAATGACTTAAATTAAAGAGGTTTGTAGATGACAAAATATATTCAGGTAATCGCAATGTTCATGTTTTTTTTTGTTTTTTTTTCTTACATTATATGTATGTATAAATATTTTTTCAAATCTTTAATTGACTTCAACTCTTTTGTCTTGACATTAAAACTCACATTCGTTGGAATTTCTCCATTGTATGAATTGTTTTCGTAGTTGACAGATGTCAAATAGCAAGCCTTTCGAAAAGCCAGAGAACAGATTATTACTTGCTCTCTTCTGTTTTAAACGAATTAACCGTATACCTCATACTATAAAATGGCCCTGAAACCTCTTGATGGTCTGTTTTGACATGCATGTATCTATGATAAGTAGTATTCCGATTTTTAGTTCTTTCAATTCGCCAAGATATAACAGAGAAAAGGCGGAAAGAAAACAATCGGGATTGCAAGGAAAGTGACCGACAGGGTACGCATATCAAGTGATACATGTACACGATCATTAGTCGAAGCTGACAAAATGTTATAATGTCTGACCTGTAAAATTGTATTGGCAAATTCCAAAACCAGCGTTATTTCTGATGGTGTAGATATGTAATTTTATTATCGAAAACATTCATATTATACATTAAAAAGTTAATCGTATCTGTAAATACTAACTTTGCAGGATGTTGGAAAGGTACATGGGGAACGGACTACGCTGATGCATGCCCACCTAAATGTATAGATCAGCATTGTTATCCTAGAAATGGCTTTTGTGTATGGGGATGTGATCCACAGAATTGTCGTAATAACAATTGCAATAACCAAACAGGTGTTTGTACTGAAGGATGTGTAGATGGCTGGGTCGGGCACTACTGGTAAACTAAGTATTGTAAGCATTTTATTCTTACGAAAATTATGTTCTACTTTTCATCATGTCGTATTTTACTGTTATATGGTAGCATTGGAATATCGTATGATACCTATTCTTTTTATAAAGCAATTATCAAAATATGTTTCGCTGAGAAAACAAATAACCAATACATTTGTTTTTAAATGATTGCTAATATAAAAATGAATTCATTTTTGTATGTTTGATAATATCAGAATGAGTTGTTTATGCCTATGTACATCTTAAAATTTGCTTAACTACGAGAGTATCGTATTTGACATATTTTATAATTAGACTAAAAATAGTATAAAATACCAACACATATTTTGCACAATATAGTTATCGTTTTTATCCTATAAATATGAGTTTAATTACTACAATTTACACATATATAAATGTCAGGCAACGTTATTAGTTCAAACTTGCATGCATCAACTTCATTATGTACTGTAATAGGAGGAGTTCGATTGGATAAGGTTTGCAAGATTCTTCTGATACGTCCTCAATGTATGATGCACTTTAAGCTTGACGAATGCCCAGTGATAGCTCAACTCACTAATTTCAAACCGGTATGCTGTTGATAACTTGTATTCTATATATTTACTCTGTATTTTTAAAGATGTTCTCTATTCAGACTTCTATTGTTGTCCTGTATGTTTATTTTTCCTCTATCTGGAGCTAAAAGAGACTTAATGCTGTTTCAACAATAAACTTTTATTAAAAAAATACAACAAGGCAAGCAAATTCAACAAGTGTAAAGTAGTATCAAAAAATGTAGACTAAAAATGTATCAGAAGTAAATGGGGAGTATAATTTAGCAATGTAAATTAATATCAAAAATAGTGAGGTTTCAAGGAGCAAATTAGACTCCATAAATTTACTCTAAAAAAACATGAATCAATCTATAAATTTAGCGTTTAGAATAGACCAGGTTAACTTACCAGCAGAGTAGAAAGCTTCACCATATCAGACAGGAAACCCGTCTTTAGACAAATTAAAACATAACTCGGCAATTTGGAAGTACAACAACTTATTAATAAATTATAACAACTTACTCCTGAATAACTAAAAGATTTCAATTATAGACGATCTTATTATAAATTAAATGCCAAAGATAAAACTGAACATAGGATAAAGTAATAAGTGAAAAGTTAATTAAACATTTGTCATGGAACATAACTCCGTTTGACTACATTCCTCCCCCTAAGACAAATTTTAATTATAAAACAAAAATATTAAAGTCAATCAAAAGGATTAAAAGTTCTTAATTCTCTCTACTCAACTGCTGCCGCGATTGTGTTTGCCATTCTTTTCCTGTTCTCCTGCGCTTGCCGTCTCATGTCATTTAATATTTGATGTCTCTCGTTCTCGGTCTCGGTTCCTTTCCTATAAGGGTAGCAGAGCGGGTTCCGATATGAATGGTTTTTCACTTTATCTTTCCTTACTAATACTTCTGGATGAGGTGTATGATGACAAAAGGCTACATGCCTTTTACATGAACTAAAATTTCGAAAAGTCTTTTCACAAATACCACACTTATGAATAGTTACGATCTCTACATGTATTTTGGTCCAATGGGCGATATATGCATTGAAATTAGAGCAAACGAAATTTCATCCATCGCCATTACATTTTGTATTATTTGGGTTCCATACAGATCTAAGGCTGTGATTAACAAATTCACTGTATTCCTCATCCGGTAAATTTATTTCAGTGTAATAAATGAATATGCTACGACTGGCATTACTGAGAAAGATATTTGTAAACGCTAACTTGCCTCAAAGCTTTGCCACCTTGCTTTGCTTTGAGTATTCACTATAACTTACATAATATAGGTTTGATTGTTGTATTTTTAGTGTATGTACAGTGTAAATAA